AGGAATCTAAAGACCCACTGATGGAAGAAGACCACCACATGAGACAAAGACCACTCTTTGGAGAGATAAAAAAGCTACCTGGAGAGAAACTATGCCAGGGAGCATAATAACCTCTTACTTCTTAACTCTGAGTAGGAAGTAGGGATATAACCTAAGAATTACATCCTTGTATTTACCCAATACTATAAACTCCATAGATAATATAAGTTTCATTAGATACAGTACAGGAAGCTTTACTACAGCAATAGAGAAATGTTTCTCAATCATCCAGGTCATAGTTGTCCCAAATGTTAGTCCCAGTACTTCAGAACTGAATCAGCGCCTTGGAAGAGAAATGAAATGTTTTCAAACAAAAAAACAAGGAAGTCCACTTACCTTTTGGAAAAAGTACCTTTGGGAGCACAATTGAGAAACCGCCCATACATTTTAACTTACTTTAAAATGTATGGGTGGTTGCTTCTAACTCACAGCTGATTCCATTATTCCTTCTATTATTTGTTCCAAGAAAGTAGAAGAGGAAGAATAAATAAATACTTTCTTAGAACTGAAACTAAAGACTTTTCTTGCTTTGTTTACTGAACAAAAGGAGGAAGCATCGCCAATGAGATCTGGTATGCTGTCTTAAATCAAATTCCCAAAGGTTTGCAAAATTACATACCTCTTATAATTATAGCTACAATGAGCAATCTTAAACTGTCTGCTTCTTAAAAAGGATGAGATTTTTCAGACACTGTTAACTAATTCTAATGACAAGGTACAACATATATAAAATTACAGAAGGCAGTGACACCCCAGTGCACTGAAGTACAACTTCCCTATGTGAAAATTATGACAACCTATGTTATCTAAAAAGAGTAACATGCTGGATGCAAATATGACAGCATCCTAGGGATCTGTGGCTGGTAGCAGACTGTCAGTAGGTGAAAAGGTCTTTCCCATCATTCTTTCATAACCCATAATTATCAGGGAGAGGAAAAGGGAGAGAGATAAGTAGCATGATTGCTTAACATTTACGCTTTCCTTGTTTTTTGTTTTTTTTCTGGGAAAGGACTGTACCAGATTTCCCGGGACCTGATATGACATTTTATTCATATTGATATGGTTAATGAGGGTGGATTATTGCACAGACAATTCCAGATTCCACATGTCTGGAGTTATAACACCGGTTAGGGTGAAAAAAAATGTGGTTAAGCATGTTCTCAAATGGACTAGGATTTTATATGCTTTTCCAAGTAATAATCTTATTGAGAATTTGCTCCTTAGCAGGTTGTCTTACAATCTGGTTGTCAAATAGTTCTGTTCTGCCCTTTGCATTTCACTGGATTTAAAACATTTTCAGTCCCTACTTGCTTACTCTTATTCAAAAATAAGCATTATATAACTGTCTTCTACTATTATTTTGGTTCCAGAGTAAAATACGTTTGTTGTACCTGAGCTTTTTTTCTCATTCCATGTAATTCTCCTACAAGATTTTATGCCACTTTTAGATTTGCTTCTGGGTTTCCCCCCCTCTGTTTAAAAAAATCTATTTATTATTGTATTTTTGTTCTCTCTCTCTCTCTCTCTCTCTCTCTCTCTCTCTCTCTCTGTGTGTGTGTGTGTGTTTGTAAAGCTATCCTTGAAACTGATGGAAATGCAGAGGTGAAATTACAAAATACATGTAAATTATGAAGGAAGTACACCACATCTCTGAAAACTTAAAATGTCTATAGATCCTTTATGAAATCCCAAAGAATAATTATGTAGAATACCAGAAATAGAAAGCTTATATATAGAAGACATTATATCCTCACTTAGGGAGAAGTTAATAGTAAGTAGAAGAAATTCTCATTTCAGCTGGTGCTCAAATAAAAATATACTCAGTTTAATTTATTGGTTTCTAATATATCACCATAATTGTCATGGAATCTTGGAGGTTAACAATAACAAAACATTAACAAATAATTCAAAAGCATTAATACTAATAATCCCCAACAGTGCCAAATGGTGTCTGGAAGAATTCGTTTTTTATCAACTTCCAGGAGGTCATGAGAATGAAAGTTAACCAGAGTTTAGGAGGAAACTATTTAATAAACCAGAGACCATCAATTGAAAAATGTGGTTTTCAAGCTCTTCCCCCGAGTTTCTGAAAACAGGACTACTTATATATTAGATGTAAAATTACATATTGAATAGAACAATTCCACTTGGAAAAGGCAATCTTACAAATACCTATGAGCCAACCCATACACAGATAGAACTTTTAAAACTAGAATATTATATTGGATTTGAGGATAGCATATGAATAGTTAAAACAGGCAGATAGGAAGAAGAGAAAGAAGGTGATGCATGAATCAACATGTGTGTGCAATAGAAGTGAGTGGGTTGATGGAAAAAAATCAGAGGACTAATGTTTTTTATACATATGCAAAATGGGGGGAATGGATGAAACTTTTTAGATAATAAGACAAATAATTTTTGCAGACACTCACTCACACATACAAAACTGATTACAAAGTAAAATGGGAGAAAAGTTATTTCTGATAAACATTTATAGGATTAACGTAACTTAATAAAAGAAATCAACTTGTTTTCAAGCAGCAGAATAAGCATCAGCTCACAAAGGCTATAGAAACTAGTCTTGTATATAGTTTGTCACATGATCAAGACCTTCACATTTTGGCTTTTATCTTGTTTGTAGGAATATTCCATAAATTACACAAATACAATAAACGCTTTCTTTCACTCACTGATTCACTCACTCACATATTCCAACATGGCTTTTAAAATTATCTCTATTCCCCTTTCCCGTAAAAGTTGTGCTAAAATTCAAATATAAACATTCATGTTTGACCATAATTTGATCATGATTTCTAAAGGCAAGGCAACATGCAAGTGAATGGATTTTTCAGACAAAAATAGAGGCTCTGTATAATAAATAAAAGGATGCATTCATAGTTTCAAGTCTTTGTTATAATGTCAAAGCTGAGAAAGATACAAACCAGTAAACAGACTAGTCAGCAATGATGATTAAAACTGCAACAGTCACTTTTCTATATATACAGAAGAAAACTAGCCCGATCAACCATGATTTTTAGATTAAAAGGAGGAAAAAACATGACATTTTTTTAAAAAAAGAATGAATAGCGAATGAAAGCAATGTCTGTTTATGACATATTAAAAGTGGTAAAATGGTACAATTTCTCTAAAACAGGGTTTTCTATTATAGGAGGAAAAGAAGGATATCATGCAGGTGGACTTCATTAATGAACATAAACATTAAAGCCTCTTCTGTGTTCAGAGCTCTATTCAATGACCTTAAATTACTCACTGAAGCTGGATAAGGAACATCCCAATAGAGTAGTTTAAAAATACTGAAGACACCGCATACAAGGAAGTGTTTGGGGTTTGGCCTGTACATACTATCAAGTGTGATGAAGCATGATAATAATTGATAGCTCAACCATCTGTTTTAAATAAAAATTAATAAAGTCCCTGGAATTAATTGATGATTTAACAACTTATTGCCTTGTTGCTAATTAAAGGAAAGAAATAGCTTAATGCCTCAAAAGCATCTTTCTCAGCTTCTTCCTTACATGAAGTAAGCTGGGCTAAACAGGTCTATCCACAGCAGCTGTTTATGCTTACTCACATATGAATGAGATCCACTATAATGGTGAAGAAACATGAAAATCTTTATCTTGTTCAATTTTAATTTTGGTACCCTTAGCTATATTTATTAGGCAATCTAGTGCTATTACAGTAGAAGGTTCTGATTATAAATTATGTTTATATGTTGGGGATAACTTAGCAGTTATTTTAAATAACTGCTTTCACTGCAAAATTTTATATGGATGATTCAACATTTTGCTAAGTATTCAAGACATAAAATTAACTGGGAGATTTTTATTATTTCCTTTAATTATGTCTCTAAACTATGGTATTTGGCTCTTTTGGAGGAGTTATGTTTACATTGAGGTAAGAAATGATTTTGAAAAACTGAAAAATATTTCTGATATTAAGGATTAGATTACAGAGATGTGTGAAAAGGCACATTTTATCTACTCATAAAAAATAACTCATACATTTTTATGTAGGATACAAATTTATGATATTTATAATGTCAGACAACCATTAATTATTATTTTCCCCCTAAGGTAAGATTTGTAAATCTGTTTGACGTTATTGATGTGTGACATATGTCAACAAGAGTTTCTCTCTTTTATGTTTTTTCTGTGTTTTGAATTTATAGTTTTACAAGCATCTTTCCTTTTTAATTTTTAAAAAATTTCTATTTCTTTCTGTGAAGCTTGCAAATACATTTCTATGCTGATGCGCATGCATCACACACACACACACACATATATATAAGATTTTATTTATTTATCAGCACAAATACAACACACACACACACACACACACACACACACACACACACACACACACACACACACACACACAC